ATAAACACTCCGATTAAAATAATAGCGTAGTAATCTCACAATTGCATAATAGAACGGATGTGATCTAGAAGACGTGTATATATGCTCATACATAATGAGACACTTGATGGTCAACGAAGTTAGAGATGTCCATAGTGCAAGCAAGTCACGTAAGGCTGCTGGTAACACCTGCTCATCGTTATAACAGCATAGACAAGCATAGAACTCACTTCATGGACGGTGACATACCCCAGCCACATCCAAACAAGAGTCGCTGCTGAACTACTGGGATTGGACAATTGGATTTAAAATCCACAGACTGAAAACCAACGCGATTCCACCAAAGTAGAGTATGAACAGTATTTGTGAACCCTTCAACATTCCTACCACGTATTTAATATCCTCATTGTCTCAGTTCATGTTTTAGAAAATTTGTTGGACCATGTGGAAATCTAACTAACGACCTCTAGCCATTATTATAAGGTATACAACTTCCTTCGGTTTAACGAGCCTGTGATCTTAAGTTTTGCCACGTAACAACATTGCCACGTAATTTAGCAATTTCGACGAGAAAACCGCATCTACAATAAGGATAATGGCTGGTAACTCTTTTCCTTTCACCCTTGAATTTAATGTTGGTCGAGACAGGGGTTTTCCATAAAAAAAATAGCTATGACAGACTGCTAATGAGAACTCAAAGGAATTGAAATAAAAAAAATAGATTAATAAAAGCTCTCGCCGATTGAGCTACCGTGCCGTCAATTCTCTTCAATCTACATATATTTTTTAATTTTATAATGCCATCCTGTGCAATAAGACCCTTGGCTGGCTTTGGAAACCAGTACTGCAAGATTTAGTTTGAGCTATGCTCCTAACCTGACCTACTGCATTAGAGATCTATTTGTTTTATTTTAGTATATGATTTTTGTTTTGTTTTTATGCATTGCAAGTTATCAATTACTTATTTTTCATTTCTGACGGCAGACCAAAAACTTTTGGATCGCTGAGTGCTGAGTATGAGCTCAGACACCCAGCAATATACCTGCTGCTCACACCTAGTAAACAACAATGAATAAACTACGTAAGACGTAGCTGAAGTTGAGGACAATCAATAACAAAAACCTTGGCACTGTCTATTTACGTTGTAAATTAGTTTTTATAAATAGCTAATTTCTATTTGATAACACGCGCAAAAAGTTATTTTTTTTAACACGATACCGGACGAAAAAACTAATTCCACGTATGATGTAGTTTTATTACGTTTTAATATTGCAGCCAATTAAAGACATACAAACGGAGGTAAAAACGTGTGTAGGTTTTGTATTTTGTACGTGACTCGCTGAAGGTGGGGAAAAGCGAAGGTAATCTTGACAGTTTTAACTGAATTGTCAATTTACTGGTATATCTGCGTCTTACGATGTCCAAGGTTCTAATCGCTGTTTTGCCGCAATGTTAGTTGAGACTTGGATTGTGTTATTGGCCTAAAATTCTGAATAGGGAGGCGTGATCACCCCGTGCTTAGGTCCTAGTTATCATCACTTATTTAGTGATGTGCTTATGGTGGTAAACCTTGGTATTGATAGATTAATTGTAGTGTTTTGTTAATTAAATAACTCTTAACTTTACTAGTAATTATCTGATTAAGAAAGGACACCTTTGTTCATAACTAACATGATATGTGTCTTTTAGAGTTTAATATGTATATAAGATCAGCTCATTGCCCTTGAAGGCCATTCTGCACATTCCAATTTTGTATGCTAAACGTACTAGTACAAATGATTACGACCTTCCAAGCGTTCAAGTTCAAACTCCCTGACCTTTTATTAATAGTTGCACTATCGAATCTTGTAAAACTAGATAGACTAGTGAAATCTATGTTTGGCAGTTGAAAATTTTGTATGTAGTTTATTTCTTTGAAATAAGCCATTCTAGCCGAAAATCGATAGTAATAATGATCCAGTCTAGATCCAGATATAGAACACAGGGCTATAACTCTTGGTATTGAAATTCGCTACCTGTTAGACGTTTATTACGAGTAAATAGATGTAAATAGTTAGACTCACTTTCTTTTTTAAATCTTTTTTTTAGAATTCTTACAAACAAAGAATATAACCATTTCAAAATAAGAACTACCTATTTTTGTTAAGAATCTTCGACTCTTGTTTAAATTAAGAATTTCCAGTTTCCACAATGAAAATGTATTTTATTTTTAAATTAAAATAGATTCATTTAAATAAAACACTTTAACGGTTCAAAATATTATTTAAACCGGTTCAAATTTTCAAATAAGTTTAACTTATATATATCGCGTTTTAAACCATAAAAGTGTTTTTTTTATGTTTACTACTCGCGTAAACTATAGACAGATTTAAAATAGATTCAGTTCCAAACTCGTTTTATCATTCTGAGAATTTTGCTATTTGCACGTGAATTCCTAAGTAATTGCTTCACGTTTAAAAGACGCTCTTCAAAGCGAAGTGGAAAGTACTTGGGAGTGGCAAAGCATTTAGAACCTACTTCATTCTGATATCGAAGGGGGCGCAAACGAGGGGTGAGCTTCAAGGGCGGTATGTAACCAGAGTACTAGAACATTTTAAGGCTATAAATATCTCAAAGGTAATGAAAATGTGAAGAAGGTTTTAAGGTTATTTTCTACGTTTTTATCGCAGCTTTGCTCTTAAAAATTAAGTCATTTCTCGATTGTTCAGACGTTTAATTTACACAAGAAATTCAAAAAGCAAAATAAGATAAAAAATACGACGTTGTTTTAACGAAAAATCCCTTAATATGCGATATACATATTCGTTAATTACTTATAACTTATTTTTACTACAGTCCGACGTTTCGGATACTTTGGAGCAGCCTTAGTAGCGGGGGCAACGTCGGGCCCTAGTTAAATTACCGTATTTTTTTTATTTATATAATTAGACTGTTTAACGCTTATCCATCTTATACCATAAACTGTACCACACAAAGTACTAATAAAAATCTACTAATCGTATTAGTCGTAAATCTGTTTTTACTGGGTAACAAGCATCAAAACATCCATGTATAGTTATTATATAAAAATGATAGACTCGATAGAGATAAGATGAAAATAAATCGTATAACGCTATTTATATCGTTTAAGCCTGGCTTGCATAACTGCTAACATGAGCTCATTAGCGAGTCACGAATGAAAACTTGTCAATCCATGAATAATTGTGTTTACAGCTGGATCAACAATCTGGTTGAAAATGTATAGATAAACAAGTCAATTTGTGGACTTCGCAAAATTTGTTGGATTAATCCACAAAAAAAATTTTGTTTTTCTTTTTTGTACCCAATACTATGTTATATAAGCTATATCAGCTTGTCTGTATATTACCTACATCACTTAAATACGTCATCCAGAAATTTTAAAATCATATTCTATTGAATGTTTAAGTTGTTAGTTGATAAGCCATAGAATTATTAAAATATGTACTTAATATCTTTTGATACCAAGCATAGCGTAGCGTAGTTTTTTACTTTAACGTCAGAGACATCCTCCATCTTTAGTCTCCCCGTGACCACGACTACTGCAAAGCATCCGAAACGTCGGGCCGTAGTTAAAAATAATTTTCAAACAAGTTTAACTAAAATATATCACGTTTTAAACCGTTAAAGTGTTTTCTTATATAACCAAGCACATGGTTATATTTGTTTTTGAAATTACATGTTCTTTATATTTTCGTATAATATACATAGACTGAGAAAAACCCCTCCTACCCCTACTTTAGCCTTCGACGTCGTAGTACAAAGCGCCGCAACAAAAGCGACGGAATGTGGAAAATGTACAAAAACGGAATTTGCGCCTAATGACATCACGCGGAAACATAAAAACCGTGTAGACTTAGAATCGATACATCGAAAACAAGTGGAAACCAAATGGAAGGTTATACATAAATTATAGAATTAAAAAAAAAAACTTTTTTACAAAAAACCTTTTATCATAGATGTGGATCAACATGTGTGTCACTTGATAATAGGCGAAATACCCCAGCCTATGGCATCTAAACAAGATAACTTGGCTGTGGATATTCAGAACACACGATTAAACTTCACGGCTCTTTCATTTGCGCCGGTTCGTGACCCGGACGGACCCGATATTCCTACCGTTTGATATCCAGATTTCCAGACGAAGTTCACCATGTTTCAGATAAATTAGAAACAGGTTGGGTTGGGTGGGGATCGAATCCTGTTTGATTCTTGATTATTAGCCACACCAACGAGCCCGTCAGATCTTTTTCTAGAGTACATTCACTATAGTAACACTTAATCCCAGGATTCGAATCTTTGTCCTCGTGGTCGGCAGTCGTGTGCACTGACTGGACGTACGATGCAGTTGCATAGGCAACAAAATGTCAAACATTAAACAAATGAAATGAAGCACTAATACGGAGAAGATATGATTATTAAACACCTCCTTTTAAGTAACGTCAATTAACAGACTAACTAGACGTACTTTGCTAATAACTTCAGACCGAAATGCAAACAGTGACTATTCACTTCGAGCAGGTATATTTTCAACCTTGGACGCTGAATATTTAATTTAAAAAAACCTTATAAAATAAACGGTTTAAAACGAGATATATATATTGGGTAAACTTGTTTGAAATTATCTTAACTACGGCCCAAAGTTTCAAACGCTTTGCAGCACCCGCGATCGCGATTTAAACCGTTAAAATGTTTTATTTAAATGTGTACTACAGACAGTATATTACAAATAAACTTATTTTAAATTACGATCCAATGTTTCGAATGCGGGGGGACTGATAATAATAGTTAATTTCCTGTTTTAAACCGTTAAAAGTATTCTATTTTAATGTGTACAACTCACGTAATCAACAATACGTCATGGGACATTTCCAAAGACTTTTAATTGTTATTTAATTTCGAAATTGTTTTTCAAACCGCTCCAATAATTATCACTGTCAAAAAGCAAATAACACATCCTTAATCCAGGAGAAAATTTTAGAACGAATAAAAAGGATACTCACCGGAAAAACTAATTTTCGTGCCGACCGGCATTTTCCTATCGCACTTGCTATTAATTCCCTTTCAAACACCTGTAGTATCCGTAGTATTGATATAGTATATTATTATGTTGTGTTATTTTTGCCGGTGTGACACGCGCGCCTCCCTCCGTGTCCGCTCGTAGACTGGCAGACGCGGATCGTACGCCCGCGCTGCGCCACGCTTATCTTCGCTTCGTACCCTGCACTCTAGTCTGCCACCCTTGTCTGGCAAGCTTCGGGGATACGAAAATGGTAATTGTTTATGAATGGGTACTTTGAAGATCAATAGTTAGGCGTAAGAAGGCTCTTATGTACATTTGAAGTACGGCTTATCTTGATAGTATGTAAAAACTCCGGTGCGAGAGTTCGACTCGAAGGCGTTGTAGCTATGAATAGATTCATAATGTAACCTTTCATTTGTTAATATAATTTTCTTGTTATAATTTATTGATATGGAGCAAAAATAACCGAAGAATGGACGTTATGTTTACAGAAGAGTTTATTCTTATTTATGTTTATTCTTTAAATATAATTTATTTGTATCTTAATTACTGTCTATCATTTACGAAAGTACCCAGTACACATTTTAAAAAATACTCTTGACGGTTTAAAACAAGAAATCTTATAAATAGATAATTCTATTTTTATTGCACGCTTTGTGTAAATGCATAATCTAGAAACCGAACGATGAAACGGCCACAAAAATATGTCTGATGTTTGTTACAGCAAAATTTCTGAAACAACTTTGTGCACCGGTTAGTCTGTTGATTTCTGAATGTCCCAATAGGTCGATATCACATCTTATTTAGATGTGAAATGGCAGGATCTCTAGCAAGTGACCCCATAATTATATGTATATCTTTCTTGTCAAAAGAATATGTAATGCAATATACTAATAAAACGAGAAACAAAAAAAAAAAAACCGGTAATGACACCATTGCTTAAAGAAATACATTGCAAAATAATTTCTTAATTTCCGGCTTACAAGCTGACATTGAGATACGAATTTTGTACCTATTTGATAAGTAGATAATAGTTTGTCCTGTTTTTCTACAGAAGGAGGACAGACAAACATAGGTTCACTTGATAGGACGTGAAATACCATCTAAACAAGATGTGCTATCGACCTATTTAACTTATCTTCGATGGATAGTAGAAATGGTTTTCATTTGATAATATAACGTAAATAGATGCGCTATAAATAGAGTCATTTTAATTAATATTTATCGCGTTTTAAATTACATATTACTGTTGCATGCTCGCTTTGAATCAGATAACAATGGCATAGGTCACCGATAATGCAAACATTCTGCAAATTCTTGAGCCTCGGTCTTCAAGACATTCACTATTCGTATACCCTTTAGTTTTCGAATGGCGTCAGTTAAAATCCTTCACGCTCACTTGGCTACTTACTTGTCGGAAATGCTATGAAATAATTTAAAAGAGCGACAAGATTGTTGGACAAGAAGGAAAATACTAGAATATTTTCGTTCAATGTTTTGTTATAGACATGGACCAGTATTGTCTATAGTTTACGCGAGTAGTATAAATTTAAATTAAACACTTTTAACGGTTTAAAACGTGAAATATATTAGTTATTTGTAATCTAACTACGGTCCGACGTTACGGATGCTTTGACCACTTGCGAGCACAGCTGCAAAATCATCATTGGTAAGGCATCCGAAACTTCGGGCCGTAGTTAAAATGAATTGTAAATAAGTAAATATATTTCACGTTTTCAACCGTTCAAAGTTTTTAATGGACATGGACGCTTAATTTTATCGAATTTTGAGTATGATAATAGGTCTCTTTATTTGGCATTCATTTAGTAAAAAGTTAGAAAGATAGAAATATAATTGCAATAAAATAATTGATATAAACGGATTATATTTAAAGAAAAGTGATTTCAAAAAGGTCAGCGTACGTTATATACATTGCTATGTATATTGCTGCTGCAAAGTTATGCTACAACACTGATGTTCAGCAATACCCAATTGTTCGTCTGTCAGACTGCGCTCAGGGAACCATTTGATATTTTAAATAGTGGTGACTCAAGGATTAGATCCAATGGAGCCCAACCAAACCAAACATCCGACCGAAAATTCTAGATGTTAAAAGAACAAATTTTCTGTTTAAAAACTTTAATGTTTTTCACATGTTATTGACATGAAGGCATTATATAATTTAAAAATCGAAAATAAATTGAAAAAAAAAAAAATTCATTTTCCATTTTTAAAATAAACTTTCTGACTAAGACTGAACTGAACGTAAGTAATCCGTGAATAGAGAAGGTTTCAATGTCACTTTGCAACACCTGCAGAACGTGGCGTGCGATACGGCCATTAAAATATTAGTTTCGAATAACCGCTATAATACCGGGAGGTCAAAGAAAGTTAAGAGATGGGAATCGAAGTAGATTGTGCACGATACCCGCATACACTTCAGGCCATGGAGACAAATTGATTGAGCTTTGTTAAGCCACTTTCGCCATGGGCGCGCTGATTGTCGGATGATACGGCGAAAACCATTCATCTAACTGACGCTAAATATTGCGAGGATCAAACTATTATGAAACTCTGTGTAGTTTAATTTAAACAAAACACTTTAACGGTTTAAAACGCGATATGTATAAGTTATTGGAAAATTATTACATATAATAGTTTAGGTGGACGAAACGTCGGGCCGTAGGTAAAACACTTTCCAAATAGGTTTAATTAATAAATATCGCGTGTTTTATATAAATGTGTACTTACTCGCGTAAACTACAGAGAAACAACTATTTAGGAATATTAATATTATTAATTTAGGGGGAATTTCAAATGCCGCTTAAGTCGCGTATACGTAAAACTATTTTTAAAAAGTATTTTTGTGGTTTTCTTTTTAATGTTTTTTTCTATTTTATTGTTTTGTTCATTGTTTTAATTTAATCATTTTCTACTAGTTCTTAGTAGTAGTTAACATTAGAGAAACAACAATTATTTACGGTTTAAAACGTGAAATATTATAAATCACCAATAAATAGCAGTTCTGTTCCTTATAGAACTGCTATCTATTCAACTATTTTCAGAAGAGATCAACTCGGAGTTAACAGGTGGCGCTAGCGTAGCAGATTTGACAACGACATTAGGGTCGGCCATCTTTAATCCTTTCTGAGCATGGTTGAACAATGACAGTCGTTGTTTAAAATGAAGTAAAACCTACATGTTGAGCTGAAACCGTTGAAAATGTTTTATTTGGTGCTAGTTTGTTTTCTCAGAAACGTACATTTATCATACTGCGCTTCAGACAATGGATGATGCTATAAAACGTAATTGCTTAATGGATTGTCATTATTTATGCTGAGAAAATGTCATAGTTGGAATAAGGTGAATTCTTGTTTACCAAGATATGCAATGATCTATTGTCTACGTTTATAACGATATAATTCTTTGTATAAATCAAAAGCCAATTTTAAATCTAGTACGGGTAAAATTTGAGTGTCGTTGGAAAATAACTATAGCTGTAGCTGTGCCAGCGATATCAACTGCGTATTTTGGGCATCGAAATTTGTTTTTTCAAACCTCCTCATCTTTATCTGAATCTTCAAAGATAAGCATATACTCATCTCAATCATCGCGGATCCTTTTTAAACTGTTTTATTTAGCTCACCCCGTTTGTTTTATTTATTCTTGGGTCAAATTTAATAATTCAAATTTCACCCTCTTCCTGTCAACCAATAAATCTGAAATTTTGTATACACTTTGGATTTTGGTGACAATACAATTATGTTTATTCATTACCATTATGAATCCAAAATGGCGGATAACGTAGGTTTTATCAAAAAAACAACTACAATTTTGCAACTATGTTACTATCTACACAACAGGAATCCCCGATTAACAAAGTTGCGTCGTCGGGTCGTTATTAGAAGTAAATGAATAAATTTCGCATTTTTTTTAAGTTTCTAATGTTTGAACGGATAATATTTAATCAGTTATTGTATGTCTTTATATGAATGTCTTTCCTAGTTGTAGCTGACGTCTCGTTCGCTATTATCTAGCATATGCGTTATCATGGACAATGCATATATTTTGTTTAGTATAATAATAAACCATGACATTGAAAACTTCATTACAATTTCAAAAGAAATACATCTATCATATAACTATAATATTTTATATACTTACGTACGTTTCTTTATCATTATTTATTAAAGACAAATGTACATAATTCATATAAATAAATGGTGTTTCCTCCCATGGGGCATACAATTTTATTTGCACTTCTGTGCCTCGCGCGACAGGGAGTCGAACCCAGGAAAACCGTGTTTAATGCCTTGGTAGGTAACACGTTTAACCGTTTAGCTACAGCCGTCTGAAGCCAAATGATAGAAGTTTAACATAAATTGTATTTATTGAAACCTTATGTTATTTACGATCACATATAAAAATCTAGACAGAAATTTTAAAAACTTTTATCTATATAATCCACAAAATATTATAAGCCTATGTTACATTTTTGAGACTGCTAAATCGACTGTCTAGTTACAAACGCCGACACTCACTGCAAAAATTAAAATTAAATAAAAAATATTTTTATTTAAAATTCGAATGTGGATTCGAACCCACAACCTAACTTGTACCACTACACACCCTCCTCTCTCACTCATCCCAATTATACGGTATTAAGACAGATATGCTGACCGTACCGTTGCGAAATCAGTAACAGCCGGCAGCTCTTTTGAATTCATCAGTGCACTTAACACTTTCCTTTGTACACAGTACGAATTGCGAAATGGCTGCTGTCGAGTACTAAGAAAACAATGTTTTAAACTCTGCATTATTAAGCTTTGTTTCTCTTTTTTAAGTAATGAAAGGGAACTCCACACAATATAACTTAAAGTGACGCTGTTAAGAGCTCGACTTTTAAAAGAAAGTTGTTTTTAGTTTTACTGCCTCCTTTGAATATTAACATTTTACTATTCGAATATCTCTCTTTATCTGCGTTATACGTGTATGTGTAGTATACGCGTGT